GGAGCAAGACCTGCTGCTAAACAAACAGGAGAGGATCTGATTTTTCACTTCTTTTGCCTCCCTGAAGGTTAGGCAGATGGGTTCCTGCAGCAAGTCCAGAAGATCTTAGAGATGTCATGTTACACACTGTGATTTTTTGTAATCCCAGTATTCTCCTCTTCTCCCTCCCTCTCTGTGTGAGTGGATACACCTTCTGCAGTCTTCCAAGTCTTGTATTGTGCACCCTCTCTATTGTAAGTAACGGAACCACTAAAAATATTACTGGACAAGCTATCCTTAAAAGGCTTATGGACTGCCCTTAAACAATATGGTTTAACCTGTGTTTATGCAGACACATTTCCAAGAAACATCTGGGAGTTCCTGAGGGCTGTTTTTGATGGCGTTATTTAATGAAGATTTATGACTATAACTGCCTGTGCTAGCTGTGGTGGTTTGCACAAAGCTGGGGTTGGTATAAAATGCTCTTACTGGGCCAAGGAGCTGCTTGTGCTCCCAGTATCTAGTCTTGGGTTTTATTCACTGATGCTTTTATGCAAGTTGAATGTCCTTCGGGATACTTAACATGGATGTTGAATGTAGGTATAGATACTCTGTGCCTTGAAATGTCCTTTTGCCTTCAGCTGCCTATCTTAACAGAACTTGAAATGTTACGTTTTTCTAAGAAAATTATAAAATTAACACAGTTTTTCTGTGTTAGAAAAAGTTACTTTGGTCACCTATGTCTCATTTGAAAATATAGGTATTCCTCAGGGTTTGGAACTGTAGCCAGGCAGTCTGGGAGAGTCATTATGGGGAAGGTTTACAGGGCTTTGATGGCTTTTAGTCTAAGCTTTACTCAGACAAGTAGAGGGTACTGCTTGTAAATGTGTGGGTGGCAAGGTGAGCTAGTAAAATGAGGATTGGGGAAAGGAAAAGATGGGTGGTGAGCTGTGTGGGGTGTGACAAACTATAAACTAATCTTATGCACAATAAATCTGCCTTGCTGTGGCTTTCAGGTAAAATCCTGGGGGGAAAAATGTTCAACAGGATTCTTTTTCAGAAGAAAGAGAGTATGTCAGCTTTGGCAGAATGAAAATACTAGTGCTAGGAAGATCTGTGTTTTTCTGAAGCAGGTTCATTTTCAAAGTTTACCTCTGTTATTCTACAGTTGTATTTCTCTTGAGAAGACCTGCTGCTGCATTGATTCTTCAGTAACCAAGAGCCCTGTTAACTTTGCTCTAACCTCTAGAACCATGCCATTAAAACAAACTTTTAAAAAAATCCATTTTCTCCCAAGTTTGATCATTTTTAGCATAAGCATTTCCTCCACTATGCTGTACAAGCACTACAGTGACCTGCTGCTGTACCTCGACCATCATCATTTATGCCTGGACCAAGCACATAGTAAATGCCATAAAAGTGCTAGTCTGGCGTACTCTCCCGAGATGAGTGTTTTGCATTCATTTTGCAGGCTGCCATGCAATAGAGCATAAGAGTAGGAATTGGTCTGCTCTTGTGATTAGATTGGGAAGAACGAAAAATAGGTAGGCAGAAATTTCTGGGGCTCATGGAGTTGCAGAGCAGGCCTTTCTATTCAATTAATGTTTTTTTTAGCTCTTGGCAACTGTACAGTGACAGCATGGATCCCTGAATAATGCACTTAAACGCCCTGTTTTTTTCTTCCCTAGACATGTAAAGCACAGACTGAAAACAACTGTTTTAAATGCAATGTTTTTTGGGTATTTGCACGAACAAAGAGTTACATCTAGTGAGGCCTTCCCAGCCATTCTCCATTGTGAAAGATGCCACAAAATCTGATACCCATCTAGCTGACCTGCTGTGTGCTTTTCTGTGGAGAATTCAACACACCTGGGAGCTCAGGGGAGCAGAGCAAGGCAGGAGTTATGCGAGGCTTACTGTGCCTCAAGGATACCTATTCTGGGCAGTAAATCAGAGAGGTGATGGTAAAAACAAGGCCCCTCTCCTGGGTTCTGAGGAGAAGGGTGTTTGTTTCAGCAGTGTTTACAATAAGCAGCAACATACTCTTGGATCAATACCTGGTTTAGTAGGGCGTGTGGAGAGTCATCGAACCTGTTGTGCTGGAGCACAGCCTTGCTGATCCGGGCGGCCTAGCTTCACCACGGTGCTCCTCGTAGCCTGTCAGCGGGGTCTCCTCAGCCAGCCGTGCAGCAGGTGCGATACTCCGCCCAGGTTTTTTGGTTTGTTGTTGTTTGTTTTTTTGTTTTTTTTTTTTAAATCCCCGGGTCCGGCCG